CCCCCCCCCCCCCCCCCCCCCCCCAGTAAATCCATCCCTGGTTCTTATGCTTGTGTTGTTCTCACTGTGTCCCCACTACAACGCAAGATAAAACACAAGCATAAGCATAAGCAACAACAATTAGCAAAAAGAAAAGAACGCTTTGATATTCATATGCTTATAATGAGGACAGTACATAAGAAATCAACACGTTTGAACCCTGGTTCAAGCACAAGAGGGTTATCAGAGTGAATGATGCAAACACTATTCTTTATTTTGTAGGGTATGGTTGAGAAATGGTTGATACAAGTGGAAGAAATTATGATTCAGAGTTTAATGAAGGTCACTGAAGACGCTGTGGCTGCTTACTCCACTACACCACGTGATAGATGGGTGAAAGAATGGCCAGGACAGGTAAACAATCATCTTCCAAGTAATATATTCTTCAACCATCTTAAAAACATGAATTATAGATATATATATATTTGCTGTGTTGGTGTAGTTTACTCAGGTGAATAAGATGCTTGTGATGTTACTCTGAGTGTATATCCACACTGGGCAGGCTTGAAAAATATGCCTGGCCACGGTGGGAATCGAACCTACGACCTTTGGAATACTAGCCCAATGCTCTGCCAACTGAGCTACGCGGTCAGGTCGGTTCGAGTATGCGATATTTCGGAACTGAGTCTAGTTCCTTCGATATCAGTGTAATCTAATTATCATGATATTTGCTGTGTTGGTGTAGTGTACTCAGGTGAATAAGATGCTTGTGATGTTAAACTCTGAGTGTATATCCACTGATATGGGCTAGTATTCCAAAGGTCCTAGGTTCGATTCCCACCGTGGCCAGGCATATTTTTCAAACTCAGAGTAACATCACAAACATTATATTCACCTGAGTGCATTACACCAACACAGAAAAAACCATGAATTATATATGGTGAGAAAAATGGACAAATATCAGGTATACATGCTCCTTCACAGTCATGATTTTCTTTGTGTTTTCTAAATAGAGGAGATTTTTTTATATGTTATGTAATACGCGCTCAAAACTAATGCGTACAATATATCACTTGAGGTTATGACTAAATTCAAAATTTTTTATTTTTCGATACGTTTCTCAATCGGCAAACAAACTTAAAAAGTATGTTTAGTGCTTTATCTGTAAAGTAATGCTAAAATGAAGAGATTTTAGATGATACGCCAAAGAGAAAATGATGTCTGAAGTTCAGTAAGTTTTGCTTATATGGCTGTAAATATGGCGTCAATTTTAAAGCATCATTGATAATTGTATTTTAATTGCCAATTTTTAACTATTATTTTATGTTTCTCAACCGGCAGATGCATTTAAAAAGTAGCTAACTCTATAAACTAGAGACTAAAGCTAAAACAAAGTAATTTTGAAAGGAACGCCAGAAAGATTTTAGGTTTTGAACACTTTTCATTGCAAAGACGTGACATTGAAAAAAATTGCATCTTAATGACAATACACATTTTTCATTCCAGATTATCCTGGCTGTCAGTGGTATATACTGGACGATGGATGTCTCCAAAACCATTTCTGAAAAAGATGGACTAAAGGTTAGAATTAAAGAAATAAAATCAAAATGTTACCTTTGTTTATTACTCAAATTTATTAAAGTTGTCGGCTTCTCTCTTGTAGAATTATTTAAAACTGAGCAATGAAATGTTAGAGAAGATCGTGTTTCTTGTACGTGGAAAACTTGACAAGGGAATTCGTGTTACTTTGGGAGCTCTTACTGTTATTGACGTTCATGGTAAGATTTACGCCCGTATTCTAAAAGCTCACTCACACTCGATGAGTGAAAGTTCAATCTGAGCTTCTCTCGAGTGTCAGTGCTGTTTTTGAATAGCTGGAGGGTTAGTGTCATACCTTACTATGTGACCACCCACCCTCCAGCTATTCAAAAACAGCATTGACACTCAAGAGAAGCTCAGATTGAACTTCCACTCATCGAGTGTGAGCGAGCTTTTAGAATACGGGCGTTAGTGTCGTTCCTTACTATGTGACTACTCACCCTCCCGCTATTCAAAAACAGCATTGACACTCAAGAGAAGCTCAGATTGAACTTCCACTCATTGAGTGTGAGTGTGAGCGAGCTTTTAGAATACAGGCGTTAGTGTCGTTCTTTACTATGTGACTACTCACCCTCCAGCTATTCAAAAACAGCATTGACACTCAAGAGAAGCTCAGATTGAACTTTCACTCATTGAGTGTGAGTGAGCTTTTAGAATACCAGGCCTTAAAATATCTTTTCCAGGGCCGTCTGACAAAATGTCCGGTGATGTTGTGTTTGGGTCGGACATATGTCCGATGACCTTCAGTTCAGTTTTGGCTCGGAAATAAGTCTGAATGACACAAATGAATAAACGGTAAATGTTGTAAAGATATTAAATAATTTGTTTCTTTCATACTTATTTCCAAGCCAAAATTACCTTGCTTGCCAGAACAGCAGTATTAAAAAAGACTTCGACAACTTAAGCCCGTTTTCCACTTCACCATTTCGCTCGCCGCCTCGCGCTCGACTACGTTAAAACAACATTTCCAGTTCACCTTTTATACAATAGTACTCTGATTTCCCATTTAACATACTGGGCTAGGGTACATTTTGATTTACATGTCGGACAAAAGCTACAGTTCGGTCGGACACCGATACACTCGGGTCGGACAAACAATAAACCTCAGTTTCACTTAGGTCGGACAGAATGTCCGGTGGTTTCCTGTCTACGTCGGACAATTTCACGAATGGGTCGGACAATGTCCGTGACCGACCGATATTTTAAGGCCTGGAATACGGGCGTTAGTATTGTTTAGTTCATGTGCTTTCCACCGAGCTGTGAGTGTGAGACGAATTTAGCTATTCAGTGTAAATAGAGTTAGTTTAATAAGCCTTCAATTTTATTTCTAGCACGAGATGTAGTCGAGAAGATGTATAAAGATGGTGTATGTGACACGAATGACTTTCAATGGCTCTCTCAACTACGATATTATTTTGAAGAGAAAGCTGTCGTAGTTCGTATGATAACGACTGATATTAATTATGGCTATGAATATCTGGGAAACAGTGGAAGATTGGTCATTACCCCCCTCACTGACAGATGCTACAGGTATGGTTATATACTCATGTATGGTTATATACTACAGGTATAGTTACATGTATATACTACAGGTATGGTTCTATACTACAGGTGTGGTTATGTACTACAGGTATGGTTATATACTATAGGTCGTAAGTCAGTTAGTTGGTTAGGGGTTAGGGCTTAAGTTAGTTAGGGTTTGCTAATCTTTGGTAAGTATGACGTCACATGTGGAATGAAAGCAAGTGTGAGCAAAGTACACAACACGTTGCATGTGACGTCATACGTACCAAATGCAAGTCCAAAATTGATCAAACCTGCCAAAGGTGATTAGGAAAAATTATGAGCCCGCACAAGATTGAACAATGTTTGGCTGTCCACGTTGTTCACACTTGTCAACAATATTGAACAATATTGTTGAGCCTGAATCGAGTGTAACAATATTGTAACAATATTGTTCAATATTGTTGGCAACTGTGAACAATGTGGGCAGCAAAACATTGTTCAACCCTGTTTTCATCAACTATTGCAACAACCTGATCGTTTTTAACCGTGTAGTCGGCTAGGGGTAGGGTTTAGGATTAGGCCAGTCTTTTGTAAAGCTTTATTTTTTCTAGAACATTGATGGGAGCGTTGAAGTTAAACTTGGGCGGAGCTCCCGAGGGTCCAGCGGGAACAGGGAAAACAGAAACATCGAAAGACTTGGCCAAGGCTGTCGCTAAACAATGCGTCGTCTTCAACTGCTCTGATGGTCTGGATTTTAAAGCGATGGGGAAATTTTTCAAAGGTTTAGCTCAGGCTGGTTGCTGGGCTTGTTTTGATGAGTTCAACAGAATTGAACTGGAGGTACAATGTTATGACTTTGAAAAGCTGTAAACATTTATACTGTATGATATTAAACCGTTCTCCTTAGAGGTCCAGTGTTACTACAGGAAAAAACCTAACTAACTTTCTACCAGATAGCTCTATCAGTTCTCAACTGTTTTTCCTAGAGATCCAGTAAGACCCATCCCTTATTTGTCGGGTGTTGCTACAGGAGGAAAGCGGAGTACCTTGCGAAGGCAACTCCTGTCACAGAGATGAAGGCACACGCACAGTAACAACACTCCAATTTCTTTCCTTCGAATATTTCAGGTTCTTTCTGTAGTCGCTCAACAGATTCACACAATCCAGAAAGCCATCGCGGCACGACTGAAGACGTTCATTTTCGAAGGAACAGAGCTAGTTCTCAATCCGACATGCACCATGTTCATCACCATGAATCCTGGCTACGCGGGGCGTCAAGAACTCCCTGATAACTTAAAGGTGTTGTTCCGGACTGTGGCCATGATGGTTCCTGATTACGCTCTTATCGCAGAAATATCTCTCTACTCAATGGGCTTTGTTGATGCTAGAAGGTAAGGTTTCCACTTGCAATGGTTAGCAGCTTACTGTGCATTCAAACAAGTTGGCTGCTGATACGAGTCGTTCGCGACTTATTTGACCGCGGCCTATATTCTCCAAAGGACCTCTTGCATAACACTAAACATGACAATATTCCATTGTCTTTTCATTGTTTTCA